CTACCTAACTGATGTATGGTATGTTCCCAATTTCAGTCGTAATGTGATGTCATTACAGTCCACATTGGATAAAGGGTTTGAAATGAAAATGGATAAAAAAGGTTGTAAACTTTTTAAGACAACAACTGGAGAAGTTATTGTAGAAGGGAAAAGACTACCAGGAGGCTTGTATGGTATGTTAATGACAAGTATCAAACCTGAAAATGCTGCAGAAGTCAATTTAGCCAAAACCCAAAATGTCAATATGCTACAACTATGGCATGAAAGATTTGGACATCAAAATAAAAGGCATGTTCAAAAATGGCTTAAAGAACAAGGAATAGATGCAGTCATGGACAATGAACCTTGCGAGGAATGCATTTATGGCAAACAACATAGACTGAGTTTTGGATCAAGAGAACAATATGCTTCTACTCAACCTGGAAACTTAATTCATGTAGATGTATGTGGCCCGATGCAGGAGGTTTCGAAAGGAGGGATGAGATACTTTGTGTGTTTCAAAGATGATTTTACAAAATACCGATCAGTGTATTTCCTAAAAGAAAAGTCACAAGTCATTGAAAAGCTAGAACAATTTCTCTTGGAAACAAAGACTACTGGACATATAGTGAAAGAAATTCTCACAGATGGAGGAAAGGAGTTTGTAAATAAAGAAACCTCAAAAATTACAAACAAGTATGGTATTAATCATAGGATCACAATGCCATATACTCCACAACAGAATGGTTCAGCGGAAAGGGAAAACAGGACTTTAATAGAAGCAGCTCGTTCAATGATATATGCCAAAAATATGAGCCTAAAGCTGTGGGCAGAGGCAGTTAATACTGCTACATATGTTTTGAATAGAACAGGACCAACACAAATTGAGGGAAAGACACCTTATGAACTATGGTTTGATAAAAAAAACCAGCAGTTGATCATCTTCGAATATTTGGAACTGAATGTTTTGTTCATGTGCCTGATGAAAAGAGAAGAAAGTTAGATGCCAAAAGCGAAAAAGGTATTTTGGTTGGTTATTGCAGTAACAAGGATGGGTATCGAATCTGGATGCCGAACTCAAACAAAGTTGTCACAAGTAGGGATGTAATATTCAAGGAAACTATACCAACATTTAGCCTTGATATTGAAAAGAGAAATAAGGAACTTTCAAGTAATCAGATTGATGAACAAAATGATACTCAAGATATTGAGAAAATTGAAAGCAATGTTCAAACATCAGACGTATACAATCTAAGAGATCGATCAAATATATCAAAACCTCAAAGGTATATTGATGCTGAAATAAATATTGCAGAAGGTCTTGAACCCAAGACATACAAAGAAGCAATGGATTCTCCAAATGCACAATTTTGGAAAGAAGCAATGAATGAAGAAATGAATTCTTTAACGGAAAATGATGTATACGAATGCACAACATTACCACCTGGCCAAAAACCAATTGATTGTAAATGGGTATTAAAGACCAAATTGAATTCTAAAGGAGAGATTACAAGATATAAGGCAAGACTGGTGGCAAAAGGGTTTGCACAAAAGAAGGGTATAGATTATGAAGAAACATTTAGTCCAGTGGCAAGACATGACACCATAAGAACTCTTTTAGCAATTGCTGCTAATGAAGACTTAAAATTGGTACAGTTTGACATAAAGACAGCCTTTCTCTATGGAGACTTACAAGATCAAATTTATATCAAACAACCTGAAGGATTCAACAATGGAACAGATCTTGTATGGAAATTGAAGAAAAGTCTCTATGGACTTAAACAGTCACCAAGATGCTGGAATCAGAAAATAGTCAACTTCATGAAAGAAAGATGTCTGAAGGAAAGTACAGCTGACCCCTGTTTATTCTTCAGAAAAACAAATGATCATCTACTCATTATTGCCATATATGTTGATGATGGAATCATTGCTGGTACAAATGAACAGGAAATCAAAGAATTTCTTGATGAACTAATGTTTTCATTTAAGATCACAAGTGAACCATTAAATTACTTTTTGGGTATTGAGATAGAGCGGCAACCGGATGGGTCAATCTTTATAAATCAAAAGGCATATATAAAAAGAATTCTTGAGAAATTCAATATGTCTCAAGCGAATAAAGTGGGAACACCAACTGATAATTCTACTGTTCCTGGGGAAGCAGAGATTCTAGAAAATGTTCCCTTTCGTGAAGCGATTGGTAGTCTGATGCATCTGAGCTGCTTAACAAGACCCGATATCACTTTTGCACTGAATAAAGTTTCTCAAAAACTTGCAGCACCAACAAAATATGACTGGGAAGCAGTTAAACGAATCTTCAAATATCTTGTAGGAACAACTGAATATGGAATTATGTACCAAAAGGGTCATAAAGTAGGAGTTTTGGAATCTTTCAGTGATGCAGATTTTGCTGGAGACCCAGAAACTAGAAGATCTACCAGTGGAGTTGTGTGTAAACTGGCTGGTGGTGCTATTTCTTGGCTTAGCCAAAAACAAAGATCAGTATCTTTGTCAACAACTGAGGCCGAACTCGTGGCAGCAAGCAATACAGCAAAGGAAGTCATTTGGTTAAATAGACTTTTCAGTGAAATTTCTCCACTAAAAGAACAACCAATTATAAAAGTTGATAATGCAAGTACAATTAAATTGATCAAAATCCTGAATTTCATAAGAGAACCAAACATATAGAAGTAAGACACTATTTTGTGAGAGAAAAGTATCAAGAAGGTATTTTCAATGTAGAACATATTTCTGGGAAAGATCAAGTTGCTGACATTATGACCAAAGGGCTCCCTAAGCCGCGTTTCCAAATGCTGAGATATCTACTGGGTATGAGGGACATTTGAAATCTGATTAAGGGGAAGTGTTGAAGATATTAATCTGTGATTTTAAATGTTTCTTTTTGACCAGTACTTTTGTTGTTTTTTGCCTTTTCCTAAAATGTTTCTTTCTTCTTCTTAATTATTATTTGTTCTATATGTAAAGCTTTGTTTTTGATACTTGAATAAACAAATTCAAGTTTATTATATTTTTGTGTGCTTTTAAAGTTAAAACACAACACCATTTAATATAGGATTTGTCAAGTCAATCCTATATTATTGTTAACGGTAAATTAAGGATAATTATTTACATGCAATATTTTTCGAACTAATTAACATTTCAAGCTTAAAAATAATGGTGTGTCTTAAAAGATCATGGTCGATATTTTTTAATAATTGATAATGTGAATGAAAGTAAAATAGATTTTTTAGAATTATATAATACAAGATGTACACTCGTAGAGACAGAACATAAGGAAGTTGTACCTTTCAGCATGTATATCGGGGATTGAGAAAATAACTCTGAAAGATATTACAGTGACCTTTATTGAAGACACAAGAGATAACCAAGTGTGAAAAAATTGTCTCTATCTCCTTCAAAAAAACAGACGACCGTCGATATCAAAGATTTACCACTTCCTTAAGTTTTATCCATGAGTTTATATATATGCAATTGAACCTTTCCTGATGAAATGTGATGAGTGTAATCATGTTTTGACTAGCTTGCATACCTGAGATGTTGTCAAATCGACCAAGTGCCAAGATGTGTCGGCGGCAGTGTGTGTTGAGGAAATGTCGGCAGACACCCAACATTTCCGCGTTCAAGAAAATTACAGCGGAGATGTGACAATGGAAATTTGAGTGGTGTATGGCTGGGGGAAGTATGCCGGTTGAATGTTGGGTTCGGCGTTGAGTTGAGATAGATTTAGTTAAGGAACTTTTCTTTAAAATTTTGTTTTTATGACTCTTTAATATTTAAAAAAGTAAAAATAAATATCAGGTAAAAAGTTTCTTTTAATTTAAATTTGCAAGTTTTCGAGCAAATATACTGTTCTTCAACGGACTGATATTCTATGTACAATCTCTAAATAATATTTTTACAGAATAATTGAAAACTTTTGTTATTGGTTTGTGTTCTCATAAAGTGAAGAATTGCTTTTTAATAGCAATGCTAATTAATAAAATTTGTAACTGTGAATTTTTGAATTATGGTTCTTATGATATTGTAGAATATTCTCTACAGACCTTTTACTACAATGATAAATATTATTAGATGAGAGAGGGCTTAGCTCATCAGTGGTAAACCCTCTCAGCGGTTTGTGTGAGTGTGTGGGATGGTGAGTGAAAGCAACGAACTATATTGGAATAAACATAAGCACTCTGTATGAGGAACTGATAAACGTAATATTAAATGTCTTATAAAGCATCATCTCCAGAATCTGATCTGAAGGAGGGTAAAGAATAAGAATAAACAATTTAAAAAATGTAATTTTTTGAATGTAATTCTACTGTCCTATAAGCTTATGTCCATAGTTTTCTTGAAAACCATTTCTGAGATTCCATCCTTCAGTGCTGCGTATATAAGCAGAATCGTCCAATACAGTATTAGAACTCTGAGAAGCGGTCTGGTGGATTAAATTGGCTAAACCGCTGGGAGGGTTCACCACTGATGAGCCAAGCCCTCCCAATATATTTTTTCATCGCAGTAAGGGCAGTAGAAGTTTGTATTATGTATAAAAGAGGTATTCGTGCTTTTAAATCTTTCATTTTATAAATAAAAAAATTAATATATCGCCCCTTTTCTTAACCTGAATATATGCACAATGTATGTGTAAGAGTAACTTTCTGTGTCAACAATAACAGCGGTGGTATGCGTTTGTTTACAGTACCTGGAGGTGCGGTTCGGCAAGGCGCTGAGAACTCTGGCTTCTACGTTCTTCCTCATCAATGTGGTGAGTTTCTGTGACTTTTGGAAAGCACGATCAAAAGACACGCATACCACACAACATACAAATAAACACACAACTGGCACCAATACGCACACTATAACACAAACACACAAGCACGTGCACTCACACAACCATACCCCCAACATAGACAACACATGCGGGATATTTTCAAATGTCGTTCTACAATCATAGGCCACATTATATATTATATAAAAATCACTATATATAATATTGACGCGAACGGAAAAATATGTCCAGGGTAGCCTAGTGGACATGGCATCTGCCCGGTAAGCGGAAGTTCGATTCCCATCCCTGGACACTTTTATTTTTCCGTTTATCATTACTCTTCACAATTCATCCTTTCATACTTCATCCCTAAGGTTAGAAATAATCGTTATTTATCCTTAAAAATAAATTTCGATTTTCCGTTCAAAATAAACACATGCGGGAAAATTTTCAAATGTCGTTCTATAGACAACAAATACACACGCAACTTGCACATCATAAACACACATACCTATTACACACAAAACACATAACACATGCACTCACACACAACCATACACCCAACATAGACAACAAATATATACAACTAGAGCTTTTTATTCTCTTTGTTGTGTGTGGATCTCCCGTAGAAATTTAGGAAAGGCAAATCTCTCAGAACGATACGACACAAAAAAACATAAAATACAAGAGAGAAAATGAGGGAAGTTTACAGTTAACTAAATAAAATAAAAATATCAAAATTGATCATCTGTTTATAAAATGCTAAATATTTTGTTGCCATATCATTCTGAAAGTTAAATTTTTCTTATGTGTAAGGCTAGATGTCTCATAAGTAGTTACTTTGTCAGCTTAAATAATTTCTCATAGACAAAACATAAGGAAGTTTTTAGCATGTATATAGGTATTCAAACAATATATTCTATACATAGTAACCTTTAATGAAGACACATGAGATAAACATGTGTGAATAAAATTGCCTTTCTCCTTCAAAAAAAAAATAAAAATAAAAACAGACGACCGGCGACAACAAACACTTTCCACCATCTTAAGTTTTGTCCATGAGTGATAATATAACACAAATCTCAGGAATGTCCACAATATAGCTACTTTATAAATTGTTAGCGAGGAAATTATTTAAGTTGACAATTTATAGCTATAGAGCTATATTGTGGACATTCCTGAGATTTGTGTTATATTATCACTCATGGACAAAACTTAAGATGGTGGAAAGTGTTTGTTGTCGCCGGTCGTCTGTTTTTTTTTTTTTTTTTTTTTTTAAGTAGACAGAGACAATTTTGTTCGCACCTGGTTATCTCGTAGGTCTTCAATAAAGGTCACTGTAATATCTTTCAGAGTTATTGTCTCAATCCCGATATAAATGCTAAAAGGTACAACTTCCTTAAGTTTTGTTCATGAGTATATATTGGTTATCTCGTAGGTCTTCAATAAAGGTCACTGTAATATCTTTCAGAGTTATTGTCTCAATCCCGATATAAATGCTAAAAGGTACAACTTCCTTAAGTTTTGTTCATGAGTATATATTGGTTATCTCGTAGGTCTTCAATAAAGGTCACTGTAATATCTTTCAGAGTTATTGTCTCAATCCCGATATAAATGCTAAAAGGTACAACTTCCTTAAGTTTTGTTCATGAGTATATATTGGTTATCTCGTGGGTCTTCAATAAAGGTCACTGTAATATCTTTCAGAGTTATTGTCTCAATCCCGATATACATGCTAAAAGGTACAACTTCCTTAAGTTTTGTCCATGAGTGTATATTGGTTATCTCGTGTGTCTTCAATAAAGGTCACTGTAATATCTTTCAGAGTTATTGTCTCAATCCCGATATAAATGCTAAAAGGTACAACTTCCTTAAGTTTTGTTCATGAGTATATATTGGTTATCTCGTAGGTCTTCAATAAAGGTCACTGTAATATCTTTCAGAGTTATTGTCTCAATCCCGATATAAATGCTAAAAGGTACAACTTCCTTAAGTTTTGTTCATGAGTATATATTGGTTATCTCGTAGGTCTTCAATAAAGGTCACTGTAATATCTTTCAGAGTTATTGTCTCAATCCCGATATAAATGCTAAAAGGTACAACTTCCTTAAGTTTTGTTCATGAGTATATATTGGTTATCTCGTGGGTCTTCAATAAAGGTCACTGTAATATCTTTCAGAGTTATTGTCTCAATCCCGATATACATGCTAAAAGGTACAACTTCCTTAAGTTTTGTTCATGAGTGTATATTGGTTATCTCGTGGGTCTTCAATAAAGGTCACTGTAATATCTTTCAGAGTTATTGTCTCAATCCCGATATACATGCTAAAAGGTACAACTTCCTTAAGTTTTGTTCATGAGTATATATTGGTTATCTCGTGGGTCTTCAATAAAGGTCACTGTAATATCTTTCAGAGTTATTGTCTCAATCCCGATATAAATGCTAAAAGGTACAACTTCCTTAAGTTTTGTTCATGAGTATATATTGGTTATCTCGTGGGTCTTCAATAAAGGTCACTGTAATATCTTTCAGAGTTATTGTCTCAATCCCGATATACATGCTAAAAGGTACAACTTCCTTAAGTTTTGTTCATGAGTGTATATTGGTTATCTCGTGGGTCTTCAATAAAGGTCACTGTAATATCTTTCAGAGTTATTGTCTCAATCCCGATATACATGCTAAAAGGTACAACTTCCTTAAGTTTTGTTCATGAGTATATATTGGTTATCTCGTGGGTCTTCAATAAAGGTCACTGTAATATCTTTCAGAGTTATTGTCTCAATCCCGATATACATGCTAAAAGGTACAACTTCCTTAAGTTTTGTTCATGAGTGTATATTGGTTATCTCGTGGGTCTTCAATAAAGGTCACTGTGATATCTTTCAGAGTTATTGTCTCAATCCCGATATACATGCTAAAAGGTACAACTTCCTTAAGTTTTGTTCATGAGTGTATATTGGTTATCTCGTGGGTCTTCAATAAAGGTCACTGTAATATCTTTCAGAGTTATTGTCTCAATCCCGATATACATGCTAAAAGGTACAACTTCCTTAAGTTTTGTTCATGAGTGTATATTGGTTATCTCGTGGGTCTTCAATAAAGGTCACTGTAATATCTTTCAGAGTTATTGTCACAATCCCGATATACATGGTAAAAGGTACAACTTCCCTAAGTTTTGTCCATGAGTGTATATTGGTTATCTCGTGTGTCTTCAATAAAGGTCACTGTAATATCTTTCAGAGTTATTGTCTGAATCCCGATATACATGGTAAAAGGTACAACTTCCCTAAGTTTTGTCCATGAGTGTATATTGGTTATCTCGTGTGTCTTCAATAAAGGTCACTGTAATATCTTTCAGAGTTATTGTCTGAATCCCGATATACATGGTAAAAGGTACAACTTCCCTAAGTTTTGTCCATGAGTGTATATTGGTTATCTCGTGTGTCTTCAATAAAGGTCACTGTAATATCTTTCAGAGTTATTGTCTGAATCCCGATATACATGGTAAAAGGTACAACTTCCCTAAGTTTTGTCCATGAGTGTATATTGGTTATCTCGTGTGTCTTCAATAAAGGTCACTGTAATATCTTTCAGAGTTATTGTCTGAATCCCGATATACATGGTAAAAGGTACAACTTCCCTAAGTTTTGTCCATGAGTGTATATTGGTTATCTCGTGTGTCTTCAATAAAGGTCACTGTAATATATTTCAGAGTTATTGTCTGAATCCCGATATACATGGTAAAAGGTACAACTTCCTTAAGTTTTGTCCATGAGTGTATCATCCTATATTCCAGACCACAGTTATCAATCTAGATAGGTTATAAAGAAGTTAGTTTCAATCCACCAATAGTAGCCCAGAAAATGTTTCACACTGGGTGTTCGCCTTATAGAGGTTCTACTGTTTGATCCAAAATATAGTAAAATTTTCTTTATTAACTCCTCTTTCCATAAGCAACACCTATACATACATACAAAAACCTTTATTAAGACACCCTGGTCTTATAGAAAATTCTTCAAGGATTTTACAAGGCATAAAATGAAACAAGAAAATAATGAGAAGTTCATGTTCACATGATATATATATATATTATATAATCTAAAATGCAAATATTTTATTTTTTAAAAACGTATATTCCATTTTCATTCATTGACTGTTCTACATTTTTTACCATAGATTTAGAACATAACACTTCAATTATTGTTTTAAATATGTATAGTTAACCTACCTATTTTTTTTAATTCACGAATATAGAATTCATTTTATAAATTCTATATTACTGTGAAAACTAATTCTATGTGTAATTTCCTTCAAGTAATTCAAATTAAAAAACTACTTGATGGGTAAATAATTATCTTTACTTTTTCACGACTGCACCTTCAATTCTCTATCTTTTTCAACAACAAAAACAAAAAAAAATATTCATAACATATATATATATATTAAAAATAGCATATCCTGACCAGGAGCACATGTGCTTTACAGAAGGCAGAGCGCCATCTGGTGGAACAGAAATCAACTAAACATTGATTTAGCCTGTTCCCTGTATATATATATATACAGAATTGTTAGTAGCCCAGATTATAAATTATTGCATCACCTATATTCTTTCTAATGCCCAAACTATTTTCTTTCAAATTTATTTCTCCCGTTTTATTTCTTTTCTATTCGTCGAAAAATTCATTTAAACAATGAATCATTTTGAGGTAAATCATATCCAGGGTTTCTTGTATAAATCTTTTAATAACGGATCTCTACGAGCTTTCGGACCTTGACACCCTTCTACAGGAATATTGTAAACTAACTACAAATCCACTTATTTTGAACAATGATCTATTTATGCACTAGATGCATTTTACTAAACAAAGATATATTTACTATGATGCATTAGCGCGCCATCTGCTATCAAAATTCGAAACTATTATAGACGCGTATGATTCCTTTTATTCTTTTATTACAACATAAAATTGCGGGAGGATCATATCCATGTAACAAAAGAGGCACCTCTCCCTTTAATTGTACATCAGAATGATGGCACAGTACATCACTCTGGTAAACACTACTGATCATAAAGAATGGGCCACAACACCAGTTTTAGAAAATTCAGACAAATATTCAACCTGTATACCATTAAATCTAAGTTGTCCCATGTACTGATGATGGCCATAGCCCGAAACCATAGTATACAGGTTGTTGGCTTTTGTCTGAATTTTTCTAAACTGGTGTTGTGGCTTTCTATATCAACACTAGTAAAGTTTTATACTAAGCCCAGCCACATTGCCAGCAAAACACCTCTTTGGTAGATTGTGAG